GGCGTGCGGGAGCCAGGCTCCGAGGCTACAGCAAGTCCCAGCAGAGCAGGGCGGCCTAGTGAGATCACATAAGTGAACATGCTTCGTGAGTTATGAAAAGCTGTTTTCCTCGGTGGGCTCAGGGACCTCATTGCCTGAGGAAGGGACTGGGATGCAAGTCCTAGCTCTGCCCACCTCATCGCATGACACTGAAAAAACTCCTTTCCCCTCTTGGCTTCAATTACCTTGACCGCAGAATGGGGCCAACATCTCCTAAAGAGGTTGTGAGAATGAAATTTAATACATATGAAAGCGCTTTGTAAACTGTCCAGTGGGCCCTATGAAGGTCAGGATGGTAGAAGAGGACAGTATGAATGGCGGGGCTTCCAGAGAGACTACCTAGGGTTGCACAGGTTGTTCACTGCACAAGGACGTCCAGCCTAGGGTGCCGAAATCCAGCCCATCCCATCCTCTACTCCCCAAACCACGTACCCTGGCCTAGGACTGCCTGGGCTTGGTACCTTCCTCTAATATGCACAAATGTACCTTGAGGGCTAGCAGTGGCCCCTTAGACGTTCCTGGAGGGATCAACCCCTGGAATTATGGGAAATATCTGAGAAACTGATTTGGGATGGAGGGGAAGTGGGGCTGGTTTTGCAGAGGTTCTTAGAGACAGGGCCTAGCCTCAGCAGTGAGGCACAACTTATTGCTAGGGGCAGCTATGGGGGCCTGGCCGGGTCAACGGGGTAGTCTCTCCTGGCCCTGCCTCTCCCTAGCAACCAAAGCAGGTAACCACCAAGACAGTATTTTAAAAAACACTCAAGACACAGACCCAAGCCGGGTTTTATTGAAATGCCAGGAGCAGGCACATGTCAAAGTAGCCAAGGAAGGGGGGATGGTGGGACAGGCTGTGTGAGCTGGCAGGGATGCGCAGGCCTCATGTCCATGGTCCTGGCATCCCCTCTGCCAAAGGACAAGTAGGCACAACCACCCTCCCCCCAAAATGGCATGCTCAGGCCAGTGGGGCCCCTACCCCTAGACCATGAAGGCTCCAAGGAGAGGGGCTGGAAGTACTAAGTTTTCTCCCTTGTGAGGGGGAAGGAAAGGGGAGATGCAGGAGGAAGGGGAGGTATAGCAGGGGATGAGCGTCCCAAGGAAGTCTCTCCTCTTAGGTGTCTGCACCCAACCCACGGTTCTGGGCAGTGGAGAGGAGCAGCATTACAAAGGGAGGCTGAAGGCTCATCCCTCAGAGAACCGGATTCCCCCAGCCTGTGGGGCTTGCATCAGCCCTGAACAGAGGGCAGAAGTTCAAGGGGACTGAAGATGCAGGTAGTTCCCAAGTGACCTAGTAGTCCCCAGAGTTGGGGGGCTTGTCCTTCATGGGACAAGGAGGAAGACAGGAGGATCCATCCCCAGCATGGAGTGGGGAGAGGACAGTCTCCCCAGTTTGGCCCCTCTAGGTCAGTTCCACGTTGTTGGCACGGTCAAGCACTCGGGAGCCACGGGCACTGCCCCCAAGCTGGAAACGACTCTCATAGAGAGTGGGGCAGAGGTGCCAGCGGTTGGCCCGGTAGATGCCCAGGTAGGTGTAGACATCAGGCTTGTAGGTGAGCAGGCACTTAATACCTGCTGCACGGATGGCTGAATCCGCCTCCAGTACACCCAAGCGGTCCGTGAAGTCGTCCGTGTAAACACAGATGACCTGGCGCCCACCCTCCTTGGCCCGTGGGCTCACCTTGGCCACCTGAAGCCGGCCTTCAACCACGGCCCGGGCAATGCCAGCCCAGGCATGGTCCAGCTTAAAGCCTGGTGCCAGATGCATAAGCCACTTGCCTGAGAGCACGTGGTGGGTGATGGCGAGCTGGCGCAGGGTGCCCGGTGTGATGGGCCGCCCACTGGTCTGCAGAGCTTCCCAGGCTGCCTGCAGGCCCTGCACATCCCCGGAGTTGGGGCTGTAGCCCTGCCCATACACTGCAATCCAGCCCACAGGCTCTGAGTTGGGTGAACCGGGGTCCCCATAGCGGGTAACTTGGGATGGTGGGTACTTGGCCAGCCAGGCATCCAGCTCAGTGGCAGGTGTCGTGTGGGCATCAAACACTAGCCAGGGGTCCATGTCAGCTGCCATAGCCTCTGCAGCCAGGTGCTCAGCAGTGAAGCCATCCTCACGGCCACCTGGAGAGTCCTCCTCTTCCAGCTCCTCACCTGGTTCCATCCTGCTGTGAGGGAACCGAGTCAGGGCAGGGTCTGAGACAATAACTACAGGTGCCAGGCACTGGATTAAACTGTGGCCTTGGGTAAGAGTTATTGTCGATGCGCCTCAGTTGCCTCATCTTTACAATGGGATAACAACTGTTCCTGTCCTGTAGATCCGCTGTGAAAATTAGATGCCTGAGGAGTGAGCGCTCCAGAAGGGTTGCTGCAGTTATTACTATTCTCCTTGACTTACAGACAAGGAAACTGAGGCTCAGAGAGAAAGGACTTGCCCAAGGTCACCTGTAGTGCGTGGCAGGGCCAAAGGGTGAATCCAGGCGTGGGAGCAACCGGCCCCAGCTACACCTCCCGGCCCTGCCAAGGCCCCCTTTTCCTGGCAGGTATCCGGAGCGCTGGCATTTAATAGAGGAAGGCAAAGAAGCGCACGATCGCGCAGCTCCCAAGGCCGGCTCTGTAGGGCCAGGCCTCCCGAGAAGGCGTTATCGGGCCCACTTAAAGACGAGGACACTGAGGTCCAGAGAGGGCACAGGCCGTTCCGAAGCCAATGGGGCAGTGCCCGGACTCGAACCTGGGCTTGTTAGAGCCTGCAGGAGCGCCAGGCTCCGGCCGTGCCGCGCCCGCCGCCATTA